TCAAAAAAAAGAAGGAAAGGGGAAGTGGTGAGCTTATGTCAACATTTATTTATAGCCCCACCTACTTCCAGAAGTATCTTAAGTAATACTTGCTTTCACAGTGGGCTCATGGAAAACTAAAGTCTCCTCTTTAAAAACCAGTCCAGGGGACATCAGACCTGCTAGTCATTAACAGGATAGCAACAGGGAAGAGAGTAATTTAAGCATTCGACCACAGCATATTTTTTAATGTAGGTATTACGAGAATGAGAGATAGTTTGAACAGTATTTCAAAGCATAGATTTAGTGTATACCCAAAATAATGGAAAACAAGTGTTCAAACAAAACCTGCATGAGGATATCTTAGTAGCACTGTTCACAATTAGTCAAAAGGTGAAAACAGTCTAAATGTCCATCAACTAACGAATGGAAATGAAATGTGGTATATCCATGCAATGGGTTGTTATTCAGCAATAAAAATGAGTGAAGTCCTGATACATGCCACAGCAAAAATGAACCTTGAATCGTGCTAAGTGAAATATCCAAAGAAAAAGAAGCAGCCGGATATAAAAAGCCACATATTGTGTGATTCCCTTTATACAAAATATCCAAAATAGGCAAATTCATAGAGAAAGAAAACAGACTGGTGTTTGCCAGAGGCCGGGAGAAGAAGAGAATGAGAAGTGAGTACCGATGGGTACAGGGTTTCATTTTGGGGTGATGAAATGTTCTGGACCTAGGGAGTGGTGATCGTTGTATAACATTGTAAATGCCTTAAGTGCCACTGGATTTTACATTTTTAAATAGTGAAAATGATAAATTTTATGTTATGTGTACTAGAAAGAAACTTGTTCTTCGGGGCTTTGGGGAAAGATGGACTGAGTTGGGCCCATATTCTACCACTTCCCATCTATGTGGCCACGTGCAAGTCACTTAAACGCTCAGCTTTTATTTCCTCATCTGTAAAATAAGGATAATTATAGCAGTACCTACCCCATAGGGTTTAACTCTTAAATGAGTCAAATTATGAAAAGTGGGCCAGGTGCTGTGGCTCACACTTGTAATCCCAGCATTTTGGGGGACTGAGGTGGGTGAATCACTTGCAGTCAGCAGTTTGAAACCAGTCTGGCCAACATGGTAAAACCCTGTCTCTACTGATATAAAAATTAGCTGGGCACAGTGACACATGCCTGTAGTCGCAGGTATTCGGGAGTCTGAGGAGAATCACTTGAACCTGGGAGGTGGAGGTTGCAGTGAGCTGAGATTACGCCACTGCACTCCAGCCTGGGTGACAGAGCGAGACTCTGTCTCAAAAAAATGTGTGCGTGTGTGTGTGTGTGTGTAATATATAACCATATATATATATATATATATATATATATATATATAATTTTGGAGACAGAGCACTGAGTATATCTGGCACATAGCATGATATAAATATTAATATTTATGTTATTAATGTAGCCCAGTATTCTCAACTGGAGACAGCATTGCTTCCAAGGGAATATTTGGCCATGTCTGGAGACATTTTTTATTATCATAATTGGGGGAAGGGGCTCTACTGGCATCTAGTGAATAGAGGCAAAAAATGCCACTGAACGTCCTGCAATGTACAGGACAGCCTCCATGGCCAAAGATGACCTGGCCCAAAAGAGCAGTGCTTCCTTTGAGCATCCCTGGTTCAGACAGTGTGTGGAGGGAAATGTGCTTCATCTCATGAATGTATATATTAAAATAGGTCAGATAGAATTTTTTGTTAGAAGACAGTCAGCAAATGTATTAAATGTTCACTGCGTATAGAGAGTATTAGACATTGTGGAGCATATAAAAGAAGACAAGGAGCTGCCTTTGAGGAGCTGAGCTGAAGAAGAGCTCTATGTGATGGGGTTATTTCAGAGGGAAGTTTTCACCAAGACATTACTGTAATCAGTTTTCCCTTAATAAGAGGGTGATCTGAGGTCACCCACACTGCTCACAGTAATGCCTGCTCCCTGTAAAGAAGCATCCTAAGGGAACAGTGTGTGGTTCCTTCACTTGTCTGAATGTGTCCTGTGTTTGGGTAAATTCTATTGAATCAATATCTGAAAAAGGAATCACTGTCACAAATGGAAATTAAAATTACTTGTTATACGTACAAGCACAGACATGAGAAAATGTTAAATCTCATTGTATTCAACCACCCACAGACCAAAAGGAGGAGATTCTTTTGCCCACTTTCCATGTAAATAGTTATTTTATCGGATTCTAAAACTAGTACATTCATGTCATTAGTCCAATCCACGTCACAGAATTTGCTCTTACACAAATGACTCACTGTCAAAAGGTTTCTCCTGCTTTGCTAGCAGTGAAGGCTGGGAAAGAATCCCTTTTTGCTTCTCTCTATCTTTTTACCTGTAGACTAAGAATAGGAAGCCCTTCAAAGGGATGCCAAGCCGTCACTTAACCCCCACCATTGCAGCTGTCCTTCAGAATCAGACAACAGGAAGAAGGGCCAAGGAGCCTGGTGAAGCCCATTAGGAGGGTAGACCCCTGGAGTGAACCTTGACTTTGGGAGCCAAGGCAGTGGATGGGTGGTCACAGGAGGGACAGAGGAGCCTTCTTCCACAACGTTGGCTTCCTATATGTACATGTGCTTTCTAGCAACTTGTACTTATTCAGTGTCTACTGTGGCAAGGACTCTTATTAGACACTTTCGTAGTGGGAAACAAAAGTGAATTAGGCATAGAGCGTGTCACAGTGAGTTCTCAGTATGGCAGGGGTAAGAGCTGTTATAGTCACTATAATACAAGACAGAAAGTGACAAGTACATTCAGAAAAATGTGGATAAAACACTATGGGATTTCAGAGGACACAGCTGGCCTTCAATGGAGAGTTTGGGGAAGTCCTTTCGGAAAGGGTAGCATTTGAGTTAGGATGCAGATGTTGATGAAAATGTAGATCTGTTGAAAGGATGCTAGAATAGTCTAAAGAACAGAGCAAGCTACCAAGGTGAGCAGTTAAGTATGTCACAGAAGAGATTTTGTAGGATTTTTAAAGAAGAGTATAGGAAAAGAGGGTGAGCTGGGGATATTAGGATCAGCTCATGAAAAACCAGCAATGCCAGGACACAGTTAAGCCATGGAGAAGCGTGGGCGGATTAGGAAGGTTGTCATGCAGCTATGTGTAAGGTGGACTGGAGAGATATCAAGGGCCTGAGTTATATGGGGAAAGAATGGTAGGGAGAGGCCAGACTCAACCAATATCTTAGATAAAGCATTTGTCAGGACTGATGGCAGGATACGCCAGCACATGGGTGTACCGAGGCAGCGGGACACAGTTGAAGAGCATGGGCGCTGGACACAGATGCTTTGTGTTCTAGTCCTGGTTCTGCCACTTAAACCAGGCTGCATGTCCTTGGGCAAATTACTTTACCTCTCAGTGCCTCAATCTCTTCATCCAAAAGAATTGGTAATAAGAATCTTGCTCCTCACACCCATATGCTGCAGATTAAATGAGTTAAGTGCATTTGACACATTCTAACATCCTCTGACACAGCCTAAGTTATTGTGCTCAATAGCATAACATAAAAATTGGCTGTTATTGTTGAAGGTAACAAGAGGATTAAATGGGAGGATGAACTTCTGAACCAAGTTAAATGGTGATTACTCGGAATAAAGAATTATGCGAGGGAAGGAGTGATCTTTGGTTACCCTTCGCAAGGCTACTTGCAGGGGCTGGAGCGTGGGGCTCTGTTTGAGGACAGGACTGCCCCCCCTACATAAAGGCCTACTTATCTAGTTCTTGTTTTCTAGTTCCTAAAGCATTAACTTTACTGTCGGGCATTAGCTGCATTCAAGCTCACCAGTGAGTCAGGAGTACTCCCAAGACATCAGGATTTCCCTGCTGCTTTTCATGGGGAGACCTAGGACCAAAGAATTATGGTCTTGAGAGACCATGAAACAGATGATGCTTTTAAGAGCCAAGAGGGCACTTTTTATAGGCTTGGGCACTAACAGAATGAACATGGAAGATGTTTTGTTTAAAAGAAAAGCAACTACGATGTCTTGATTTTAGGTGAGGAATATTGTCTTGTCTTTGTGGGTCTGAGCAGAGTTTAATAGTGCAGGAAGGAGAGGAGAGCTCGGGGAATGTCCTCGGGGAAGACATCCTGCCTCTTATTCTGCAGTTTTGCAGAACTCACAGTGGAAAAGCCTTGCTCTCCTCTGACACCCCATTTGGTGCTCAGACTGTTCCAATTTAATGCATGCGTAAGAATAAAAATTAAGCTTTCAAGTGCTAAGGCAGATTTTTAATAAAGAGACATAGGCTTTACCCCTATAAGATTAAATAGTCATCAGGATTTAAAGGTTTAATCTGTTGGAGTTCAGCCCAGGATGGGGTTCAGAGCCCCAGATTAATGGGATGCAGCCTCAGCCTTTGAACATCAGAGCTTGCTGGGGTGGGGGAGTACGCTGGTGTATTTGAGTGTGAAATGTGCTAGTAAGTAGGAGAGACCTCTCCTTTGCAATGTGCTGCGGCAGGAGAAAGCAAGCTACCAGCCCCTGCTTTCCTGAATCCTCAGCGGCTGACTGGATACCGCTTCTGGGGGTTGCTGTGCACATGAATGTTTGCTATTGTTCCAGGCACACGTCGGCCTTAAGAAATAGCACAAAACAGGCCCGTCCTTATTCAGAAGCCGAGCCCCCTCCATCACTCAAACTGGGCCTTCCAGGTCACATGCCAGAGGCTGCTGCGGACAGGACCCAGCTGCCTCAAATCTGCTGCCTAACATTAGCTGCGGTTCGAAAAACCTGACAGCACGGGGCTTCTCGGGCTCTGCAGAGCAAACTAGAAAGATCTGGGATCCAGGCACTATGTTCTCTCAAGAACTGTGGCTGGAAAATGAGAAAAAGTGTGCTGTGGTTCGGAAGTCGAAGCAGGGCAGGAAACGCCAAGAACTGCTGGCTGTAGCCTGGGGAGTGAAGGTGGGTGTCAAAGGCGGCTTTCTTTGGCCCCCTCTCAAACTCTTTGCCTGTTCACAGATCTCCTCCCTGGTTCGAAGGGCAGCCCTCACACACAACGACAACCACTTCAACTATGAGAAGACACACAACTTTAAGGTAAGCAAGCTTCTGCATTCCTTCTGTTATAAAGGCCAGGTGGAGAGGACTGTGTATCGTTTCCATCTGGTTTCTGATTGCAAAGTCATGAGACAGCGAATTCCTTTGCTTTCTACATTTAGCTATAAGCTTCACACCAGTGCTTTCTATACATTCACAGTGGAGACCTCAGAAAGAAGGTCTGCTCAGTGCTTATGCCTAGAAACACCTTATCTGTATGTTGACTTCGTTTTGGAGAATTGGGCCCATTGACACTTTGCATTCCCAGGTCCAGATAAGAAACACACAGCATGCCCAGCCTCGCTAGGTCGCAGATGTCCTGGTGGGAGCTGAGCAGTACTTTTCCACTCAGTAAAGAGTACTGCTGTCTCCTAGCAAGGGAAAACAGTTGCCTATTTCTCATTTTGTGTTTTGTCTTTTGTTTTAGCAGTGATGCTAACTCCTTTCCTTTATGCGTAGACAGCTGTGAAATCAAATGATGACAAGAGATGCCATCCAGTAGCTCTTGTTTGTGCTCCGGGTACAGGGGAGGCGGGAGGCGGGAGGCGCCCTGGATCACAGCCTTTATCCTGCTCACCAGACCAAACAAAAAGATCTGGAAACCTGGAGGGGGTTTATTAAGTGGAATTTCTCATGTGAATTTATAAACTGGAAAGGCCTCTATCTTCGTTTCAGACTGGTACTTGTAGAAGGGGCTTACCATCAGAAAATGATGGCCTGTTTCCTTTGCCCAAATGTGTTTTCCAAGAAGGGGTGGGAAGAGATGCTGGTGCCAAGTTGCCCAGCTTGAATTGCAGCTGAGGCACGGAGGGACAGGTTAGTGTCAAAGGTTTCACCTCAAAAAAATGAGCTGGCCATTTGAAAGTTGGGGAGAATGGAGATGGCAGATCCAGGAAGAAAACAGTAGGCAGGAGAAGCAAAATGTGAATTGCCTTCTTTTAAAAAAAAAAAAAAAGCTGTTTCCTTTAGGGTCAGTAACCCACGTGACTCTTGGAATTAGATAACCCTTTTGTCAGAGGTGACAAGGGAAACTAATTTTCTTCTGCTGCTTTCGGATCCTTCTTAAGGACAAATACTCATCTATTAAATATACATTGGCGTTAGTTTGGTCTGTTTCCCTGAATCTGTTTTTAGAAAGCCAGCAGCTCAGGCAGTTGCAAGCTATAATTGAACTGAGGAATGGAATTATACAGCCCGACATACTTAGCATTAGGGCGAAGAATTGCATTGCATTGCATTGCATAGGTCCTCTTTTATGCCAAAGCTTCTCATAGTTCTCCCATCACTGAATATTGACAGGTCTAATTTGGAGCATTAAAAGCCTCCTCAACTTTTTATTTTACTGTGTTTTCCATTTTTATCCTCATTAATTTGTTTTGGCCTTAAAGTGTTTTTCTGATTTTTAGCAGAAATCCTTGAATTTTTTTGTGTATTGTGGATACACAGCTAGTGATGAAACGATGGATCTTCATGGACTCATAAATTCTTTTCCTTCCTCTTGAAATTTCCAATTTGTTTGGCTTTAAGAAAATGGAATTATGCTGTACTATAACATGTTTGCATAGTCTCTTGTCCATGTATATTCTGTGTCTGAGCTTGTGTTTAAAAACACACACATATATTTAGTTAATACTTTCAAAACTAATTTCAGTCCTTTCCATGTTAGATCCCTGAATGGAAAAAGAATCTTAAGACATTTTAAAACAAAAAGATATTCAACTCTTATTTTTTAAGTAGTACCTTTGCTAACACAATATATTATCACTGGAAAACACCAGAAGCTCTTTTAATATTTGCTTAAAAACTCAATAGCTCTTTACTGTTGCAGCTCTTGAAAGAAGAAAAGGCACAAAATAGACAAGTTGTTCAAGAGGAGTACACCAGCCAGACAGGAGCATTTGTCTTCCAGGTTTTAAATAGACATCTTTGAAACTTAGCAGACCCCAAGTAGCTGTGACAGTTGATTGTGACATTCAATGGTACTGTTGGTGCCACTGTCCCTAAGAATGAGTGGCAGGGACCGGATGAGGCATCCCGTCTGTCCGTCCTTGCCCTTTCCACCCTCAGTCTTCCCACACCTCACCCGCAACTAACTCTATGTCGAAACTTTTCATGGTCTTTGGAAGAACCTTCAAAAAGCAGGCTCACGCTATAAATGCAGTGACAGGTTTTTAGGGACAAGCCTGCACTAATTAAAGGAAGAAAATTCTTATCCTAGTTCCCTGCTAACTGCTTGGAATTTGTGTTTCAGACCTTAATTTTACATTGGCTTTTTATTTACATTAGCTTCTAATGAGCTTTATTTTGAAGCTTGCTTGATTTGTAATTCAGGTTGATATTTGAGGCCACTATGTACATGGCATATAGTAAGCATTCAATAAAAAAACAATGACATGTTCATGCCTGTCAGCCAATAGGCTTTGCTAGGCGCTGTCTGCACTTTTGTCTAGAGGCCTCCTACCTGACATTCGAATCTGCCAGTAGAGTTTGTCACCTCACCCCATAACAAGACTGTTTGCCCCAGTCAGGGCTATAACCCCAGGTAAAACGCCTTTTCCTTTGCTTTGCCCAGGAACTTTGTCAAGAGGAATGAATAGAAACCCCCAACATTCCCTAAGTTGGAAACTTGTGCTCCATTCTCTCAGAAAGCCCGCAGTCACTGCCTTTACTTCTCCAATAAAGCTTGTTTAAGCAAAGCAAAATTCAGCTCTGAGAACAAAAGCTTTGGGAACCAAATGATAGTCGAATCTCATTGCATGCAATGATTGTATACTTTTCAACACTGTATGCTGATGCAATTTGTGCTAATGTAAAGCATGGATTTCCTAGGATTACTTGTACCTACTAGGCACTGAGAGGTATTTGTTGGAGAAATGGTGAAATTAACAGAGTCCCCTCTAAAATGAAAAGTGCTTGTCAAGAGAAAAACCACTCGGTTATTTAGCTCGTTTTATAACTGCCGTCTTGTTTATCTGGTTGATCTAAAGTGGCACTCTGCTGTAGCTGGAGCAGCTCTCTTTTGAATGGTCCACCCTAATAATACCTTATAGCTGAGCTCTGAAAATCTTCAGGCCAGCCATCCCCAGAGCTGCGGCAGTCTGCCTTGCCCTGCTTCCTCCCACACTTAGCACAGTGATGAGGTGGCTTTAGCCTGAGTAGTACTCCTGGCCACGCCATGCTCTTCCAGAAAGCTCAGCTCTCTCTGCCTCAATTCCCTCATCTATCACATGGAAGTGTTGTGAGGTTGAAAGAATACATGCAAGTCACTTATCATGGTCTCTGGCACCTAGTATTTATTTGATGTTAGCCTCTATAATTATCTTTTTGTGCCTCTCCCTCATCTTGTATTTTTGTGTCTAGCTTTTTCTATTTTTTATTTTCTACCCTCTCTTCTCCATGCTGATCTTTACCTTTTTTCTACCACCCCTTTCTTCTTCTGTCATTAATTATATGTAAGAGAAAATGAATAAAGCCTAATGGTTGCTATTTCTTTGAATGTGTTCTATCCTGTAGCCAGTACTGGTTCATGTTTCTCATTTGTTGAAAAAGTGAATGGATGATTTAGATTTAGATTTCACACGTTTTTCCCCAGCTTTTAAAAAGTATTTTACACTAAAGCTGTCATAACAAATGACCACAAACTTGGTGATTTAAAACAACACTCATTTATTTGCTCATGGTTTTGAAGGCTGGAAGTCTGAAATGAAGGTATGGGCAGGGTTGGCTTCTTCTGGAGGCTCAGAAAGAGAAACTGCTCTGCAGCTGTCTCCTGGTTTCTGGTGGTTGCTGGCAGTCCTGGAGGTCTTTGACTTGTAGACACGCCACTCCAATCTCTGCCTTCATCTTCATATCGCCGCCTTCGAGTGTCTCTGTCATCTTCTTATAAGGGTGCCAGCCATGGGATTTAGGACCCATACTAATCCAGTATGATGTCATCTTTATTATATCTTCAAAGACCCTATTTCCAAATAAGGTTATATGCACAGTGACCCAGGGTTAGGAGTGAAACATACCTTTTGAGGGATATACCATGCAACCCATTATAGGAACTTTATTTGACATTTTCAGGAACCTTCAATAGGAAGGCTCTGTAGCCTCACCCTAAAGGATGCACTGTCAGTGACGGTAGAGTTTACAGTTTCAGTAAAGGTTTTTATGTCCACAAAAAAAGGTCCCTAGATGTAATCTAATTGCTCCTAAGTGTCAACCCTTTGGTCTAAGCACAACTGCTAATTTCCATGGCTACTGATTTTAACATTTTTAAAGAAAAGTTTTCATGGATTTTTCTTATCAGTGCTTCATTGCTCTGATAGAAAGTGATGACATTTAGTTATTCTTGGTCTCTTATCTTTACCAAGCATTTCTTCATGAAAAGAGGCACCAAAAAGCTTTAAAATAACTGGTGGGCGTCCATTTTTAGTAGTAAGTTAGAAGTGTCTATTTGCTGTGGCTGGTTCTGAAAATGAAGCAGCCACAGCAAATAGACACTGCTAACTTACTACTAAATACAGGTATTGATCGACTTATCACCTGTGCAACTTACGACCATTCGACTTTACGACCACAATCGCTAGCCACGACTGCACCACATCTGGCAGCACAAACGTTGCCCAGCTGGGCGTACGACAGTGCGGACCAGCTTCCGGCAGCACTACCATCTCCGCGTGCACCATTTCAACTGTACATATAGCCTACTCAACTTATGACCAAATTGTGTTACGACCGGTCCGCGGTCCCAACCGTGGTCGTAAGTCGAGCACTAGCTGTATATATATATATACACTTTACAATCAGATTTATGATGTAGCTATTAGTTCATACTAGTATGTGTGATTGATTATGCAGGACTGGACAGGTAAGGTGTGAGACCCAGTATAAAAAATGTGAGGTTCTTGTTAAAAAAATTAGACTTTTACAACTGTGACAGCAGCACATTAAAGCAGGCTAAGGACAGGGCTCTGTGCAAACGCTCAGGTCACACGTGCCCTGAAGCTGACCCT